CCGTGCTCTTCCGGTAGTCTCCCGTAGTCTTGCGGTGTCTTCCCGCAGTACTTTCGTGCAAACGAACGCGGTTTCGGACCCGCTTAGCAGACTAATAGCCCGAAAAACCTTCGGACCCGCTTAGCAGACTAATAGCCCGAAAAACCACGTCCGTTTCCGGTGGCCTTCTTTCCGGTCGTCTTCCAACGTTTTCGGTAGTTGTTTCATAGTGTTCCGGCAGTCTTCCTGTAGTCTTCCCGTAGTCTTCCGGTAGTCTTCCCACAGTCTCCCCGTCGTCTTCCCACAGTCTTCTGCTAGTCTTCCCACAGTCTCCCCGTCGTCTTCCCACAGTCTTCCGGTGGTCTTCCCACAGTCTCCCGCAGTCTTCCCGTCGTCTTCTGCTAGTCTTCCCTCCAAAAAACAAAAAGGGGCACCCGTTTCGGATCTCTTAATTTCCGCACAGTACGAACATTCTTTATGCTCATTGTGAATTCCTTTCTGCTCAAAACGTTTTTTTTTTTTTTTCTTTTTTTTTTTTTTCTGTTCATAACAACAACCCTGGACATGAAATGAACCTGGGAGGCCCCTTAACGGAAACCACAAGATATGGTTCATAGGGGCATTCCCTCCTGAGTACCAGCACGTTTTGGACAACGGTCCTCTAAGATGTCTTTCATGAGACAAAGTTTGACGCATCCACATTTAAATACCCCCAAGCCATAGGCGTATCCCGCAACAAGCGGGATGCAAGTGGAAGACGACGGGCTCATTTTGGCGACCCGAGTAGTATTTGGACAAGCACACAGCTGCAACCCAAAGCGGCTTCAGTGCGGGTTCCAGCACGACCTTGAAAGGGGGACCCTCAAAAGACAGAAACGAAGTAAGTGAAGGCTCACTCACAAATGCCGAGGATCACGCGAATTGGAGGAGCTCTTGCGCTTGATGCCTGCACAATGAAGGAAAAAAACAACGAACGCGTGAACTGGTCTAGCTCCCGCCCAAGCTTCAGGAGCCGTCCACAAAGTGGTTGTGGAAAAACTATAAAGCTTTGGGGAACGAACATAAAAAGCAACTACAGTAGCACAATATGAAACCCTGCATGTTGAAGGTTCCTAGTCTGGACACATACCCAAATAGTTTTGGGCTGCTGACAACTCTAACCCAATGAGAGATATAACTATTCAAGCAAGACACAATGGCCCCACGCATAGCTTCTCCATGTCCCAAAGCTAGGTCAAATTGCATAGTTTTACTGGACACCCAAATTGGACTCTGTTTTTGTCTCAATTCCGCCAGAAAGGCCAACCGTGAACACAGAATAGATCACGTTTCTCAGTTTCTCAGCCTTGCCGAAGTGACGACAACCAAGCATTTACCCTTCAAGCATCTTTCGCGATCTCTTGCTCAAACAAACATCGAACCCCAAACTGGAGTCCTCGAAGATGAGATTCCACGGTGCTTTCCAGGCTCCATGTTCAGAAGAGCCTCTAGGTGCCAGCCTGGGCTCGCCCAGGGGTCAGAGTACCACTCCTCCAAAGCATCCACTGCCTTGGTCGGCTCGGTCTCCAAGGTGGAGGCGTCCCAGTGATGGACTTTTGGTCAAGTCCAAAAAGCGATGTCTGAAACCTTGAATTTGCGAAAGGAATGATACGTCTTGCAACTGCATGTGACGGGTGGTTCTGGCAATATTAATTTTATCTCGCCATCATTGTAAATGATTTTGTCTGTGATGTTGTTTGCCTATCGGTGTATCTGCCTCTGCGAGCTTGCTTGCCGGTCGATCGCTACCTACTCACTGGTTGGTTGGTCGGTCAGTTAGCTGGTTTGTTGATTTGCTGATTTGCTGGTTGGTTTGTTGGCTGGCTGGCTCTCTGGCTTGTTGGTTTGTTGCCTTCCTTTCCTGGTTTTCTTTATCCTCAATTCAAGGTTTGCTTGTAGCTGCCTGCCCTGTCTGCTTGTCTGCAAGCTTGCATGCTTGCTGGCTGATTGACCTGCTTGATTGCGCAATCGCGTGGCTGCATGTTGCGCTTGCTTTCTGTTGGGTGGATAAACTGCCTACGTGGTTGGTTTGCTTGCTGCTCGCTTTTTGTCTTTCCGGTAAATCTCGGGATCCGCGCCACATCCGGCGCTGGCCTCAGGCAACCAAGTGCGTTCCCCCAGAGGTATGGCCTGTAACACACAGTTGGGGGAGTCCCGAGTCTCAAAGCTCCCCCCCCTTCTGCCAAACCCAATACTCCTTCCCAGTTCCAGGATGCACTTATCAAATAATCAAATTGATTGAATTTGTATTCAGGAAATTGAGCCGTTAAACAAACTCTTGGTTACAAGTCATATCCTGAACACACTTTGAGGTGTGCGCGCGCAGGCAGGAAAACGAAGTTGCCAATGAAAAAGGGCTATCGGGCTATCGGGCGCATGCAAAGGCAGCCCTCCAGGACCTGTATCCTCTCTTCTCATATGGTCAGTTGCATGTAACAATTGGAATTGTTCAAGAAGTGTTGCAAAAAGCCCGTGTTCTTGAAACTAGTGTTGTGGGCAACAAGCACTTTTTAGATCATTGGGCGAAAATAGCTGGCCCGAGCATTTGTCTCTCGTGTCACGAGTTTATGAAACAATGGAAGGTCCAGGTACACTTCTGGGGACGTTGTGCTTTTCTCGCTGCGCTCTTTTGGGGCGTGTTTGATGCCTGTAAAGAAAGACCTTACTCAGGAGGGTAATAATGTCTGGAGCTAGTGCCAGCAACATTTCTGCGGGAAAAGGTCTCACCCATCTGTTCTTGACCCTTCTGCGTTAAGTGCTTGCATTGGTGTGCGCTATACTTCGGGGGTACTGCAGGGACTGGAAGAAATCCCAAACAAGTCAATGGAACGCAAAAGTGCCCAAAGAACCCTCAGAAACCAAAAATCACCAAAGGGCGGCCAGCAACTAAGAATAACCCAAATCAAATCCCAAACGCGTGCCAGGCAGGTTGCACACCTACAACGTGGTCTACCTCGCGCCAACGCTGAGCATGCCACGCATGGTGAACGCCAGCCTGATGCAGGCAGACTCATTCAAACAGCTCATACACGTGGGGTCAAATTGCAGAGGTTGGCGGGATGTGGCTGTGTGAAGAAATTGGGAAGCCAACCTTGGAAGTGGTTGGTTTCAAGGGGCTTTCTTGAATCTTCAACAATGTTCCAGTAGGCTTTCCGTTTACTATGTTCACCAAGCAACACACGAACGATTTGAAGGGCGTAGGACAATTTGCAGCCTCTCTTTATCTGCATGTGACATGCCCAAAAGCGACCTGTGTTGGCACACAAGCCCCGAGAAACTGCAACAGAACAGACGTTTCATATGTCAACTGCATCAAAGTAGCGGCAGTTGCGCAACAAGCACCCTGCTCTGGTATTCCGTGCCAACATGCGGAGGCATCGTATTTGCTCTCAACGGATGCCAACAGGCTCGATCGATCCGTTATATATAGGTGGCCATCAAATTCATGGCTGGCCTTCTTGGACTTCAAAGGTGGGCCAACATGAAACCAGGCCTCACAAAAAAAACCTCTGTTTTGCAATTCCCCCCCCTCCCCTGCAAAGGCAGCAACATCATAATCTCACAGACCCTCACGTTCATCTTGCAATGCAGCTGTCCCTAAAGCCTAGATGCAACCAACATCATATGCTGTGACCAACCATCACAACACAAAGACGACCATTCGATTTCAACGGTTGGCAGTGGTCACGCCTCTGCAAAGCGCCTACACATATTGGCATCTGTGTTGGTGCTCAGGTTGTCATCAAGCGCACACACAAAGACAACTCGAACCCGTGTGCACCTCCAAGCAAAGAGCAAAAGCATTGTCTGCAGCTTACCCACATGCACGTCATCAACTAGGCAAAAGTAAAAGGAAATATATACTGGGAAAAGTGACACTCAACTTTGTGCTACTCTTGGCAACTAGGTGCTTTGTACAACTTGATAGCGCCTTTGCAATGCGTGGCGGTGTCGGATGCTGAACAACTGCCTTGCATTTAGGCACAGCTGGGATGGCTTGTGCAAAGGTTCTAAAGATGTCTTGCTGAAGCCACCCGACAAGGTTAGTGATGCAATGGCCCGCCCGTGATCCGCGGGCTGTGCGCGTTCGTGCTCTTTCTGGCTGTGAATGTCCAGGTGGCTCATCGAAAGCTCTTTGGCTTTTCCCTCGGCCGTCTTCAGGTCGCACACCGTTGGATTTTGGCTCGCATGATTCTGGAGGGCTGGAGGGCTGGGCAAACCCGATCAAAGCGAATGGCAGGCAGCTGAAACAAGCCAGCAAAACAACTCAGCCAACGTAGGTGACGTTCCCAAACACATGATGCTGCATCCAAAAAATGCTTTCCTTGCTGTTCAGCATGTATCTTGGACAAACTAACAAGCGGGGATACGGAGGGATCGGGGATATGGGGGGATTCCCTTGGCGCCATTTCCCATATCAAGCTTAGTCAAGGTGCATTTACGGGGAATCCTCCCGTATCCCTGGCTTTTTTGTATCCCTGCTAGTTGGTTTCCCTGAGTAGCCCAAGAAACCTTGTCTTCCCTTCTTTACGCATAGGCCAAGTTCCGGCATTCGACGTCTCTCACTGCCTCTCACTGTGGCTTGTCTTGCTGCCTTTGGCAAGAGCCCTGTGGCTGAAACCGAACAACCGTCCCACTCCGCGAGTAGCTCACTCCCTCGGCTCCTAGGCGACAAGCGGTGGTCACCTGGGCACCTCTTTCTGCGGTTAGGGCGAGCTTGATGCCCTGGTGGCTTACTGAGGTTGCCGAAGATATGGCGCTTTCTGGGACTTCCAAAGATTCCCCCGTGCCGCAGCCTGAATTTGTGCTAAACAAAAAAACAACATATGTTTGAAGCCCCAAAACTGCCAAATGAGGGACGGTGCGTGTGTACCCCAAAATGGGACACTCCCTTTGAAACGTGGTTTCAAGCGGAAAAAAAGAAACGATCCATATCTTGCGTGCCGCATCCTTGGAATCGCCCGAATGAATTCGGCCAAGTTTCAGGAAGCCTCATCTCCGGCTTGAGACTCGCACTCGTAGAAGCTAGCATTGTCCTCGTCACTGCTGCGCCCCTGTGCGGCTGAGACACAAGGGAACGCCTTCGAGATTCGTGAACCTGTGACACTCGGTCTGGTTGTTACGCATGGTACCTGTATTGCCACCATTGAATGAGTGTCATACACGGATTGCCCCGTTAGAAGTGGCCTTCTGGAGTCGGAGAACAACTCGTATGTGATAAATTGGTTCGGGCCTGGCTTGCCCTGAGTACAAACTGTACATGCGGCGCGGTGCCAAAGAGCCCATGATACGCATGGCCTGCAGAGCCAGGTACGGATATCCAGTCGCAGTTCAAAGTTGGATGCGATTGACATCCTGATATCATGCTGGTGTGACGTGGCACCTGCGGACCACAAAGGTGTTGAAAGTCGCCTCATCAAGCCTGGGGATTTCCAACCGTTGAGCACACTAAAGGAAAGGATTCTCGTTTTCGGACCTATCCTTCTGGACAGCTCCCGCCGCCCTTCTGGACGGCTCCCGCCTGACGTGTCCCAAGAAAAGGCTTAGACAAACCACGGCACACAGGACTTGTATACTGACAAAGCCCTCACGCGGTCTCACACGAGCGGAAGCCTGGCAAAACTCACATATGCAAGTGCCCGTTCGCATGTGTGATGTCTGCTTATCTGCCTGCCTGCCTGTCTGTCTCTGCCTTCGTCTCTGCCTCTGTCCCTGTCTGTCCCTGTCTGTGTCTGTGTCTCTCTCTCTCTCTCTATCTCTCTCTGTCTCTCTGTCTGTCTGTCTGTCTGTCTGTCTGTCTGTCTGTCTGTCTGTCTGTCTGTCTGTCTGTCTGTCTGTCTGTCTGTCTGTCTGTCTGTCTGTCTGTCTGTCTGTCTGTCTGTCTGTCTGTCTGTCTGTCTGTCTGTCTGTCTGTCTGTCTGTCTGTCTGTCTGTCTGTCTGTCTGTCTGTCTGTCCGTTGAGCCGTCCGTCTGCCTGCCTGCCTGCCTGCATGTGTGTGTGTGTGCGCGTCTGTATGTATGTATGTTTGTATGCATGTGTGTAATGTATGCACGTTACCTGCATGTATACATCTATGAGTGTATGCGTATGTATGCGTATGTATGCGTACGTATGTGTATGTATGCGTATGTATGCGTATGTATGTGTATGTGTGTATATGTATGTATGCAGGTACGCGTATGCATGTGTATGTGTGTGTTTGTATATGTATATGTGTGTTTACGTATGTATGTGCACTTATATGTATGTATATGCAGGTGCATGCATGCATATGTATATGTATGTATGTATGTATGTGTTTGTGTGTGTGTATGTGTGTGTGTATTTATGTAAATGTATGTTTGTGTATGTGTTTGCGTGTATATGTTGGTATATGACTATATGTATGCACATGTTTATGTATGTATATACGTACGTACGTACGTATGTATGTATGTATGTATGTGTCGATGTATGTATGTATATATGAATATATGTATATACATCTATGTATGTATGTATGTATGTACGTACGTATGTATGTATGTATGTATGTATGCATGTACGTGGTTTTGTATGTGTATGTGTGTGTTTGTATATGTATATGCATGTGTTTACGTATGTATGTGCACTTATATGTATACATGTATATGCAGGTGTATGCATGCATATGTATGTATATATATATATATGTATATATATAAATATATTTATATGGGTGTTTGTGTGTGTATGTGTGTGTGTATGTATGTAAATATGTGTGTATGTATGTGTGTGCATGTATATGTTGGTATATGACTATGTACGTACGTGCGTATGTATGTATGTATGCATGCATGCATGTATGTATGTGTGTATGCATGTATGTATGTATGTATGTATGTATGTATGTATGTATGTATGTATGTATGTATGTATGTATGTATGTATGTATGTATGTATGTATGTATGTGTGTGCATGTATCTATGTATCTATGTATCCATGTATCTATCTATCTATGTATCTATGTATCTATGTATCTATGTATCTATGTATCTATGTATGTATGCATGTATGTATGTATGAATGTATGTATATGTATATGTGTGTGGTTGTATGTATATGTTGGTATATGACTGTGTGTGTACGAATGTATGTATGTATGTATGTATGTATGTATGTATGTATGTATGTATGTATGTATGTTTGTATGTATGAATGTATGTATGTATGTATGTATGTATGTATGTGTGTGTATGTATGGACGGATGGATAGATGGATCTATCTATCTATCTATCTATCCATCTATCAATTTATGTATGTGTGTGTTTGTGTTGGTAGTGTATGTCGGATCGTACCTTATAGCATGGTATTGTATTTCAGAGTTAATGTACAGCCATGTGGTGTATGTGGTTGTATGCATGATGGCATGCATGCATCTATGTCCATACAATGTTCAGGCATGCAAACACATATGATATACACAAATGTGAATACATACATATACATGTTAACTGTATGGCAACTTTATGCGCATGTGCCATACAATATCTGCATATACACAATATATGTACATATATAATATATACACATATATATGTATATGATATAGGCCCCGCCTGAGGCGAGCGGTCCAGGTTCACCCGCGGCAGGGGCGAAGCGCTGCGGCTCCGAACCTTCTTCGAGAAAAGAAAGGGCCACAGCAAAAAGCCAAACATTGGGATCCATCTATTTACCCTCCCCCATGTTCTTCTTTCAATGGTTTCCCAGGCCCCATTTTTCTGGTCCATGGAAAACGTGGACGGGAGGGTTACCTAGATCCGCCATTTTGGCCCATACCCCAAACCCGAGCTGTCCCTTCGGAACATAATGGAATCGAAGGATTAAAAACAAACCGAAACCAGAATTCATCCATGTTCAAGGAACAGAATGGAAAATGGCAATAGAGGATTACAAAACAAGCTGAAACCAGAATTCGTCTACGTTCAACCCAAAGTGACTGGGTCAAATGCAAAGCAAAAGCTCTCTTTCGCCTCGCTGTGCAGGAGGCTCCGATGCGATTCCTCAGAGGCGCGGGCCTGGCGACGTTGAGGCTGATCCCCAGGGGTTCGTCAGAACTGGCTGGGGCGATAGGGAATGACCTTCCGGGTTTTGGGAGAACCGGAAGGGGATTCCCTTGAAGCAAACCAGACGGGATGTTTGTTTTGGGGTGATTCTCTCATTCCCCGCTGAGTAGCAGAAAAAAGTGGTTGATTCAACTGGCCCTATGCCTGTGTAAATCCAGGGCGGACTATCTATCAGAGACAGTGGCATATCCGGAACATCACTAGGTCTATGTCCTATGTCCTCCAGTAGATAGGTTAGAATAAGGGTACCCTTTTGTCTGTTGTGTATTTTAGTAGGGGAACCCTCCCCCAAAAACATCCTATTGTATTTCCACAAGTAGAGGACTGCCTCTGAAATGGGACTGCTGGTTGATTCGCCAAGGGCTTACTCCCCCGCAAATTAAAATGGAACCAAAAGGGTCTGCCCCAAAAGGAGAATCCTCTGCAAATGGTTCTTTTTGGGGTTCCATGTTAATCTGTGAGGCAGTCTTAATTTCGTGTTGCTATCCCTTTTGTGACCAGGTTCAAGTAACGGCACCTCGCTGTTCGTCTCCCGATGCTCTCGGGGCTGTGCCAGCTCTGTTTCCACCTGCTGTACTTGGACCTGCGCACAGGTCCAAGCAATTGAAAGCTCGGAGCCGCCGACTGCCCTAAATGGTTTAGCGGGACCAAGGTTAGGACAGTTTAAGTTGGGAGAAATAAACTAAATGCATATATTGTATCGGACAATAAAGTGTTTTGTTGCACTCAAAGAGCAACTTACGCAGTCACTGGTCTGCTTGCGTCCAATCGCACACACACACACACCGTTCGCCAAACTCAGTTTGGGAAAAGGAAAACATCTATCAGATCATCATGCCTCAACTGGACATAAAGGGAGTTCATCATGCCATGTTCAGTAGGAAAGTTGATGCAACCGAAAAGCAACCAGCCAGCTTCCAGATTCCAGATCCTCACGCTTAAGTCCAGCTGATCAAGTTCAAATTGGCACACGGGCGTGAATTGTTGGGGCACTTTGGTGGGAGCTGTTTGCCTTGCATCTCTTGGCTAAGTTCTACCCCTCCGCACTACACACAGAGACACACAGAGACACACAGAGACACACAGAGACACACAGAGACACACAGAGACACACAGAGACACACAGAGACACACAGAGACACACAGAGACACGCAGAGACACACAGAGACACACAGAGACACACAGAGACACACAGAGACACACAGAGACACACAGAGACACACAGAGACACAGAGAGACACACAGAGACACAGAGAGACACAGAGAGACACAGAGAGACACAGAGACACAGAGAACTAGCAAAGTACTTGGCCTAAGCGGTCAGATTTTAATCTGAGAACGGGCACGGTGCGTTCTCGATTCCAAGGGGATCCTTATCCCTACTGAACAACTCAGGCAGCAAAAAGGATCCAACGCGAAGCGGTTTCCGTGGCCAGTGAACTCCTGCCTTGGGCACTTCCTCGAGAGCCTGAAAAGGCGTCTCTGGCTCACTCCTGAGATGGCCGAGCGACAAGCCAACCAATGCAAGGACTTGATTTGTGGCCAACAAAGAAGCCACTGAACAGCGACTCGGAGCCGTTTTTGTCAGGTCGTGGGGGTCGTCACCCTGAGGTTCCTGGGTCGGAACATGTGGATTCCTTTGCCCCGGCAAGAAAGAGACGTGCTACTTACTTTCATCGGGCCAAATCTTGGCAACTCACCCGTCCACCCGTCTCCCGGGAAGTTGTCCAAGCGTTTTGTGTCTTAGGCTTTGCGTCTTGCATGGAAAGGGCCTTTGACAGACCTCAGAACTGTTCTCCATTTAACCCTCGCGGCGGGAAACCGCAATGGCTTCATGCTGCCCAGGGCGCAGGTTGTTGTCAGCGATCACCAACTGCATGGTAGACTGATGAAAGAGGTAGGCCTCTTGCGTCTCTCTCTTGCCACCAACGAGGGACAAAGCAGGCAAACCAAACGGCAATTGGTATCAAAGCAGGTTGGAAGTTGGAACTGAACCTAATTGACAAAACATTGGAAGAAAAACAAACAACAAAACACAAAAACATTAAAACCGGTGGATTTCATCTATCTCCAGATCCGCCAATGCGCAACCAAAAACCAACACGTCTTGCTCGCCCGAGACACGAAGCGAGTGGTCTGAATGACCAGCGCGGTGCCCAGCGCCAGCAGCAAGTCCCCAGTGAGGCCCAAGCGGCTCAGGGAGCAGAAGCGACACGCCTTCTTGCACTTCTCCATCCTTCGTGTTTTTCTTTTGGTTGGGCTTTGTTTGTCTTCTCGAAAAAAAAAAAAAAAAAAAAAAAAAACCTAGACATGCGATCCAGAAAATTATGATCTGGATTCCTGAGGAAATCCCCCTTTTTTTGACAGACTTCCATGGCTTCCATGGAGTCCAGACAAATGCAATCCCGAACATTCAAGACATGCATCAATTCCATGGAATCCAGGACATCCTCATCTGGTTCTTCTTTTTCTCCTCCAAATTCCCAGACATGCACTCCAGAAAATTCACTTGAATTCCTTGGTGGTGGACGGAAAAATCCAAATGCCCAGACTTCCATAGAGTCCAGAAAATGAAATCCAGAACATTCAACATGCATCAATTCCGTGGAATCCAATCCAAGACATGCAATCCGGAAAGTTTGGCTGGATTCCTTAACCCCACCAATTAACAGCCAAAACTTGACTGACGACAGGGGTCCTGGTTTGGACCAACTTCTCCGTTTAAACGGACCCCCGAACGTCAGGTTCCATGTTAGCTGGTACACTGGCAGTCATTATATTGCAAGATAGGTTCTGATGAATCACATCGATGGTTCTTTAATTACCAGTTTGTTCATCCCTTTGAAGCCCTGGCTGAATGCTGTTGTGCAACAAGCAGGTCAACCAACCAATGTGGGCTGTGACCCCGCAAAATGCAGACCAGCATCATGTACTCGAAGAACCTTAGATACTTGGCAGTCTGTCAGTCCGGTAGTCTGCGTGCCTTCAAGAACTCGACCCCGCACAAACCTAACGGCAAAGAACCTGGGAATTCCGCTTTCCACTTCAAACGTTTGTACAATCGGGGGCTCCAGCCAAGTCCGTCTTGGCGAACACTTTACTGAAAATCCGCAATGCTCGCATTGAATCAGCGACCAAGTCAGAAGCCCAAAGATTTCGAGCTAAAAACAATTCACGGATACCAAAATGCTTCAGAGTCTAGAATCCCTGCACAAAAAGGAACTAAACACCCACAGATTGCCTACCTACCCGCGGCGGGCAAGGGATCTCTGACGCCGGGGCACTTGCTTTCTGCGCTGCAGTCCCCTCGGCCTGCCCAGGCGGAGCACTCCGCCAGCATGTTCTCACAGCCTCGTGGCGAGTGCCACGAAACCAAAACTAGATGCTAGTCGATTCTAGTCGTGCCCAATCGAAAAAAGGAACGCTTTTTTAGAATTACGAAAGGGTTGCGAATGCGGCGAAAGCGTTAGAATGCAAACAAGAAGAATTGGACGACGAGCAAATTATGATCACTGCGGCGAGGGATCCTCGTCGGCAGGTTGGCAGGTTACCAGCAAATGGGTCAAGGAACATGTTCGTCTCAGTTCTTCATGGGAAGCTTGGGACAGAATCCATTTGGAGGTTGTCACACCATTCCTCACGCTCAAGCCTGAGTTGACCATCTCCGTAAAATCTGTGCCACCGGCTTACTTCTTAAAAAGGGCAGGGTACGTCGGGCAAGTGTTGAGTGATCATGGTTGTAACCTCACGTCCTAAACGGATTGCCCGACAAAATCAAAACATGTTTGTTCACCACTAAAAGTGCCTTCCCAAAAGAGTGAACTCAAAAACTTGGGAAGTGGCTAACCCGCCAAAGCCGTCAAGAATCAAACGGCACATTGAACTGAAGAAACTTGAAAGTACCCATGGACCCCAAGCTGTGTCCCTGTCGTTAAACCTACCAGAACCAAAACAAAAGGAAGACCCATCAAGAACGCGCCCTGTTTCACTTGGCCCTGACCGCAGTGATTGATCATTCCAGTGGATATGTTTGTTCGGACCCCAGTTGTACGCTTGCTTCCCCAAAGATGAAGCATGCAAGGTACGTGTCGAACACCCGCGATTGGTTTATTGGCAGTATTTGGGCGCGCCTCATTTTCGGAGTGCTGTGAAGTTCGGCTCTAAACACTATCTCTAGAAACAAGGAAATCCATTGGAAGTGAGCCCACAGCCTGTCATTTACCAGCTACTTTGCAAATGAGATCTTCCTACAGCTGGTTTCTTAGAAGTATCGGACCCGCAATTGTAGCCCAATATGCCTGGCAAAACGTGGAACAAACAAATAGTAAGTAGAAAGGAGGCGGGGCAAAGCATCTGGACAGGTATGCTCAGTGAAAAAGCAACCCTAAGTCTAAAGTCTGTGCCAAACAACAGTACCATTCCTTTTTGACGTGTCGATGTATATCCATGACTTCCCATATTCCGGGTGAGCATTGGTTAATGGGTGCTAGCGCGCTGGTCAGTGCGCTGTGTGCCAATCAAACTAGAAGATGCCATGCCTGGGCTCTTGCGTTCAGTTCAAACAAAAGCGCTCGGTCGCATCGCGAACAACCAGGATCGATACTGGGAGCCCAAAAGATTCGCATATGCATATACGTATAGTATATTATATATACAATAAAACAATATGTGTTTTTAATCAAAAACAACTCCAGCGAAGGCTGTCTTCCTTACTATGTCGCGGGTCGCTGGACTTGGTCCCTGAACATGTAATCCTGCAAACTTTGACACGGCATTAAAGCGTGCTGTCTCTCTTTTGCAGCATCGCAGGCATTCTTGCAAGCGCCTACAATACTGTTCAACGATCAATGCGATGCGCCACACATCTGCACGGGCAAAAGGCAAACACACATCACTCCCTGAGTGAATTGGCCCCATCAAAGTCTAGACTTTGTGTTTACCACAGGAACTCGGAGTGAGACCCGGAATGCCAAAAAAAGCCAACGGCCCGCCAAGCAACTGGTCCAGTTACTCTGCAGGTCCACGAGCCGAGAGAGCCAAGCCTTGGCGAAAACGTGCGCTGCGCTTGCGGGGCTAGAGCGGCTGGGCCAAACATTGGCACCTAGGTAGGAATTTGCGCAGGCAAGAACATAAACAAAAACAGGGTGCTTGTTAATGTGCAGGGAAACAGTAGCCGGGGTTCTCTTGCTTTCCGAGGCTGCGGGGGAGCAAGCCATAATCCACTTGGAGCTAGATTTGGGCATGCGCAACTTTTTTCGAACTCAAAAGTCTAGGGTCCACCCTAGGGTTTTTTTGCATTTTTCGAATAAGCGCCCCAAAACAACCATTTTAAAACATGTTTTGAAACAGTCTAAACACATTTTGATAAAAACAGTTTTTAGTACAGCATACCAAAACGAAAATTGAATTATTTTTTGAAAAATTCAATACACCTAAACATGTTTATTTTCAAAAACACATATTTTCCAAAAAAGTTTAGAAAATATATTTTTTCAAAAGAGATAAATATATATATATATAGCATTTTAAGAAGAATTATTCAATAAGAAACAACATTTTCAACAATTCAATGAGGAGACTTAATAATTAATCATTTTTCAAAATTTGGATATTCCGAAGTTGCGTGTGGTGCTCCTTGTATGATCTTAATCTTCAATATATAAAACGCTATACTTACATTATAATTATAACATATAGGGGTATAAATGTTATTATTATAGTATGGTAAAGCTATATACTGCTACCAGTATCGTTCAAATGATACTACCAGTATCGTTCAAATGATACCACCAGTATCGTTCAAATGATACCACCAATATCGTTCAAATGATACCACCAGTATCGTTCAAATGATACTACCAGTATCGTTCAATTGATACTACTAGTATCGCACACCTGATACTTCCAACTCCAAACTCAAAATCCTTAAGCCGTCAAACTCATCAAAGTGTCCAATATTAAACCACTAGGTATTTTATATAGGTCTTGTTGCTAAATAATTCTAATAAATTCATATTGTTAGAATTACTTAGATATTAATTATTCAAATAATACATATACTCCATCATCATGTTGAAATTTTATAAAACTCTAATGTTTGTTGCTTTGGTTGTTTGATTTTTCCTGTATTCAACATTTCACAGTATTTCTTTTGCTTTGTAGGGTAGTCGCCCGATGGTCTTCCTATAGATTTTGCTTGAAATATCTGTTCTATTTTCTCCTTCTCTTCGTTGCTTTGTTGTTCGCGTTCAACTGGTTTCATTTTGTCATCAATGGATTTAATCATATCATTTAAGTTTTTGATATTCTTACCAATTAATGTTATCTTCTTCATTAAATCATTAATAGTATAATTCTCATTTTCAGACATTACTATATATTTATTTAGATTATTATTTATTTAATTATTTAATTATAAAGTGCACTTATGTTAAATCTACTCTTTAAATACTAACTTATGTCCCTGTTAAAGCTAACATTAATCAAATGTTCATTAGTTTCAACAACCATATCACCACCTGTGTTTTTCTTAATATTTAAATCTTTATCTGAGCTTTTATAAGAAAACATACAAGGAATACAACTAACCTTCACTCCGCCTTTCTTATCTACTGTCAATTCATTTTTAAAATTCATTACGTGATTACATTTATCACATTTTATAGCCTTACTTTCGCCCAGTGATTTAACACTTTCTGCTGTTTCTTTCCGTGCTTCAATATCTGGCATTGGTCTTTCTTTGCCTTTACTATTTTTCTTTTTTCCCATTTATATTAATATTTACATTCTTATTTTTGATATATTGTATTCCTAGCTTAAGTATTTCTAATGAATAATATCAGCATTTTTTAATTCTATTGTCAGTTATTATTACTTGTTCTATATTCTCTACTTCATCTATTATATTAATATAATTTGAATAACTCCTATTCATATAAATAATAAGATAAAATAGTTATCTAATCTTATTATTTTCATGCATAATATAATATTGGTGGGGCACAGCACTTGGGGTTTTCTTTACAATGCATCAAACTAATTAGCTTCAATGCTTTATTGATTGAAACAATGGACGAATCGGCCATGCCTCCCGAAGCTTCGCGACAACCTGTTCCATTTTTATGATATTCGCCACCAGCATATCATAAAAATGATGTTCCATTTACTATTAATTACAAGTTAATTTTTAAATATAATTTTCTATATATCTTTAATATCAACTATGACAGATGTTCCAATAACAAAACCAATAAACATAACTGAATATGAATTCAAGCAATCCAAATATGAGCACGTGCCAAAATTACCATTTAGAAGTATTATAGTTGCTTCTTCGACAGGCGGTAAGACTGTCCTTATTCAAAATTTAATATTGAATGTTTATAGAAATTCATTTGCGAGAATATTTATATTTTCACCCAGTGTCCATAACGACCCTACATTTACAGAAATAAAAAAATACATCAGGGACGAATTGCACGTGGATGATGAAAAAGAACAAAATTATTTTGATAATTATAATCCAAGTGATTTAGAAAATGTAATTGAAAGACAGAAGAAAATAATTAATTATATGAAATCTAAAAAGATAAAGACACTACATTCAATATTAATCGTTATAGACGATCATGCCGACGATCCTAAATTTGTTAGATATAGTAAATTATTACATGGATTATTTGCAAGAGGTAGGCACGATGCAGTAAGCGTAATTTGTTCAACACAAAAATACAATGTTTTAGCGCCTATCATTCGTTTAAATGCCAGTTCTTTTACTCATTTTTAGGTTGAAAAATGCCAGTGAATTAATGAGTTTTATTGAAGAAAATAGTGCCATTGTTGACAAGCAGCAATTATTAGATATGTATCATCAAGCCGTTAATTTTGCTCCATATTATTTTTTCTACGTGAATATGAATTCAAAAGACATTAACAAAATGAGTCATATCAATTTTGAACAGGCATTTCAAATTACAAATGATGAATAAAGATATTCTAATTAATATAATATAATAATATGCCAATGAAACTATGTAGATGTGGTGGATTGTATCGTAAAGGTAATTATAATTTTCATACTAATTCTTGGATACATAAACTTTATAAAGTGTTAAAAAGACGACCAACAGACGAGGAATTATTAAGATTTCAAAATAATTTTGTTGATGAAGAAGATTTAATACATGATATGTGTAGCAATGCCTCAACAAAATTACCCGAAAGTGAAATGACAGATTATGATAACAATTAATAATATCAATTATGTTTTAATATTATCAATTTAGAATAATGAATAGCTACAAAGATTGAGAGCAGGCAATTTATAATATATTTTATCTTTTTTACATTCATTAACTCTCTCTAATCTATTGATTATTGCTTTCAATGAATTTATTTGTAGAATATCAATTCTTGACATTTCACTTATCGTATTTACATCTATATTTTTTATTACTTTAATAGCCTCTTCATCATCAATTTCTACTGGTTTTGATTTACTTGAACCCATTATATATGATATTAAGAAGATTTTATTTTGTCAAAATTATCTTTTTGTGGTTCTTCTTCTTCGTCTTCAGTTGGTGCTGGTATTTCTGTTGGACTTTCAGATGAAGAACTATGGACAGTAATAGGTGGAGAACTATGAACACTAATAGCTTCATTTGACAAATTGCTACCGCTACTTTGTGCATTTCCTGCTGTTATTTGATTGACTAAATCTGCGATATTTATTGTTGTTGCAATTGCGCTATGTGATAAGTTTAATATTATATCTGCTACTGTAGCGCCGTTGTGTAGCATTATTTCTATCATTTTTGTCAGTTTGAACTTCTTTTCTTCTTCATCGCTGTCATCCTCGTCTGGTTTCTTTGGCGGTGGTTCTGGTGGTTTGTTGTTGTCGAGCATTTCAGTAAAGGCTGACACCATTGCGTCGCGTTGGTTTTTCAGTGTTTGTGTTGCTTGTGTTCTTGTTGGTTCATTCCTTTTGTATGTGTTGTGCCAACAGTTTTTAAGCATTATTTGAAACATATTGTCCTGGTTTTCCTTTACCTTAAACGCTTCAAATGTCATATTTAATGGTTGGTTTGCACCATTATATAACTTTTCGTCAGTCTGTCTGGTTGCTGTAGCAATAATATCTGTGTTGGTTGCAATGTCAATAAATTCTCTCGGTATGCCCTTTTTCATCAGTTTCGGTGGTTGTATTGTTGTTGGTGTGTTTGGTTTCATTAGGTTATGTATTGAAAAACTATCATCATCATCATATTTATCATTGAATTTCTTCTTCGTTCTTTTCAGTATATTTTTAGTTAATAGTATCATTATTATTATTAATATTATTTATATTTTTATTTCTTACCTTTGCCCTTAAAACTTGCCTTGAGTTCTTCTATTCTACCCTTGCTTAAATTTACTATCCAACCGCCATTATCAATAGTGTCTAAAATCATATCCACTAAATATTGTTTGTATGTTCTCGCCTTGCCTCTTCCTTTGTGTTTCAATTCTTCTTGTATTTCGCTTTCTTCTGGCACTTGAATTCCTCTTAAATAAAATTGAAATTTAATATCATTTACTGTTAAATTAGGGTTTTCTTTCCAGTAAACAGGACTAGTAGTATTATCTATTGTTGTTTTAAATAATGGCGTCATTGGCAATGGTGGTGGTTGTTGGGCTGTTGAACTTGATGCTCCTGTTGCTTGTTGAACTGGTGTCGCGTAAAAATTGTCATCTACTGCTTGAGGTGATAGTTCAACATCTTCTACGCGCATTGTTTGCTGGTCGTCTGCTACTGCTCTACCTGCTGGCGCTTGTCGTGGTTCGGTTGGTGCTGATTGTCTGTTTGCCACCATTCTATGAAATAATGTCCCGCCCATCTCTCTTAAATTTGATGCCATTGCTCTGCCTACTTCTTCCGCTTTCCGCTTTGTTGCAGTTGCTATATCTTGTAATTGTGTATCTACCATTGCCTCGTGTTGTCTTGCCGTTTGTTGTGGTGTGGAAAAGTCATATTCATCATTTATTGCATCAGCGTTTGCTT